CAACTGCTACACAGTACACAGCTGGGGTATTTTGGCTATAGAGCTCTAGGAAACAGTACTGGTAGGAAGTAATTGACAGAAAACTAATGAAGAATAATAGTGTCTGCATTTTCTTTTACCCCAAGGCAGGATGGGGGAGGGTATGACTTCTAGGCCTGCCTATTAATCTATTTGCTCTTTTCATCTTTGGGCATGGAAAACCTCCTTCTTGATCTAAGATCGGCCACCCAAATCTGCTCTGTGCCCTTCACTAATTTGATCTCCTTAAATACAGCTGCAATCCATTTTCTTTGAATTTTTCTTCCTTTGCTGCATTTGTTAGAATTAGACTCCAAGCTTTGAGGCAGGGTTCTTTTTATTCCATATATAATTCTTTTGGGTGGTCATGTGTTAATATCAGAATTTAAAATACTTAACTTTATTTGTAAAATTGGTTTTCAGGCTTAAATGGCTAAAGTAAATAAGAACAGGGAAGATATGATGAGCCAAAGACACAGGATGTGATATATGGTGAGCTGATTTCATCTTTCAGTGATCCTCCAATGGAATCACTCCTGTTTTACAGATGAGCCTCAGAAAGAGAAAGTGGCCCGGATGGAATTGAAACCAAACTTTCGCTGATCTCAAAAAATCTCATGCTCTTTCACTGTCTACCTCAAATTTGTACTGGGAACAATTGAGAGACGAATCCAGCTGATTCAGACCCACAGCCCCTCCACAGTTGTCTGACTCAGGTTTCATGGTTTGAACACCATAAAGATCAAGCGCAGTAGTAAGGCAAGTGTAAATTGATCAAACATCTGCTATTGATAAACTAACTTTAAAATAAGGAAAAAATATTTCAAGAAATGATTAAGGTCCCAAGATTAAATGTAAGTTTGGCATGAATTCTCTAAATTAGACTGTATCAGAGAGCAGGCATTCTCAAGCTTTCTTGATTCATGGCACCCCTAGGCCCAAAGAAACAGCTAACCATTCTATTTATTAAGGAGGCAGGCCCTAGCAACAATGCATATGTATGTCCTCATACGTTATAAAAACTGTTCAAAAAAGTAATACATGTAAATTGAAAGAAAAATATTTTTGTTTCATTCTAAAACTGCCATCATTACATATTAATGGAAGCGTGCATCTGCTAGGCATTGCACAGCTCTCCAACCCTGGAGCAAGACCACCTTCACATCTTGTTCCACATCGCCATTTGCTTGATACTTGCTTTTTATCAAAGCAACTGATGAAAGTCCACTTACAAAGATAGAGGATCATCAAAAAATGTTGTGAATTCTAATGCTGAAATTATGAACTGTTTTGAGCTAGTAGCAGTTTGCATGAATATAACAGATGTTGCTCTGTTGCCTGTGAAAATTTAAGTTATCCTTGCCATTTTTGTGAATGTACCACAGCACCCTGGGGTCCCTCAGGGGCAGGGCAAGTCTTAAGAACATCCTTTTCCTTTTTCTTCTTTCTTCCCTTCTTCTCTCCCTTCATTTTTTCCTAGTTTATTTTATAATTATAAAACCTCTTGAAGCTTCATTTATAACTCAAATTCTCTCTCCATGACATAATATACACTGAAATTTCAACCAGGAATGAAGTCAGTAGAAAAGCATATGTTCTGTCTGAAAAACATATGGAAATCTGATGTTTATAGACACATTTCCCAGCAACAAAGCAAAGTTTTTAGCAAAGAATTCTTTACATTCTCATATTGACTATATCACACTTAATGAAGAAGACAGAAAGAAGGAGAAAGGGAGGGAGAGGGAAAGTCTGGGAAGTAAGGAGGGAGGGAGCAGGAAGAAAAGGAGGAAAGAAGAATGGGAGGAAGGAGAAACCTGATTAATAAATCTCCTTTATTAAGTGCATCAGGTACATGCACATTGTTGGAGCAGGACAACACGGAGGGAAGGAATGGGCTGCCCAGAACCCAGGCTTCCACATGGTCAGTCCTGGATACAGATCTGTTGGCAAAGGTCAAGTTGAGGTGGAAAATAGGGCACAAGGGAGCCCTGGAAGAGCTCAGGAAGAGTGTACAGCATAGAAGCATGGGCTTTAGAGTTAGGCTGTGTTCAAGCCCTGCCTCTATAACTTAGTAGCTTTGGGTCGCTGGTGAGTTAATCTTGTTTTAGATTTTTTTTTTGAGTAAAATGGGGATAATAATAATAATACTTATTCCAAAGTTGATTTTTCAGAATTGATTAATACTTGTAAAGTGCACATCAAAATATCTGGCAGCTTTAAGGGCTGGACCGTTAATGGCTATGAATACTATTAAAACAGGGCTGACTCACAGATGGGCCACAGCAGAGGTAAGGTCTGCCAAAGAATGTTGTGGGTACGAAGAGAAGACATAGTGGGGAGAATGGTAGAGCTCATGTCAATAAACGGATTACATCCAGACTCTCTCCAGGTGGGAATGCAAGTTGGTATAACCAATTAAGAAAACCACTTGGCAGTATTTACTAAAGCTGAGCATGTTCAGATGACCCAACTCAGCCATCTAACTTCTAGATATGTGCTCAGCAAACAAATGCTTATATGTGTACCAAAACACTTGGTTAATGCAGCATTAATCATAAGAGCCAGAAAACTGGAAACAACTCACCTGAAGAATGGTTCAATAGAGCTGGTATGTTTACACAACGGAACCCTGTTCTGCAGTGGGAGTGGACGCCCTGCTGCTACATACAGCGCTCTGGGGGCAGCTCACGGGTGACGCTGGGCAAGGGCAGAGTGACCCAGTGCACGTTACATGACACCACTTACATGTAAGGCTCGCAAACAGGCAGACCAATCTATGATGTTAGAAATGTGGATAGCAGTTACCTTTTGGGGGGCAAAATCAGTGTCTGGGAAAGTGCATGGGGAGTCTACTGGGGCTAGTTACAATCTGTGTTCACTTTTTTGAAAACCATCAAGCTGTCCCAAGCTTTATGTACATTTTCATCTGTATGCTTTCCTCTAATAGAATTTACCTTTAGAAAAAAAAATTGGCCAAAGTACTGAAAAAAAAACCTTGTTGTAGACTGAATATCTGGGGCTCCACCACTCCCAATTGAAATGTTGAAACCCAACCCCAATATGATGGTGGGAGGTGGGGCCTTCAGGAGGTTATCAGGCCGAGAGGATGGACCTCATGGATTCATCCTTTCATAAGAAGAGACCCAGAGAGCTCTTTTGCCCTTCTACCACCTGTGGGTGCAGCCAGAAAACAGCCACCTACGAACCACAATACACCAAATCTGCTGGTGCTTGGCCTGGACTTTCCAGCCTCCAGAACAGTGAGAACTGAGTATCTATTGTTTATAAACCACCCAGCCTGTGGTAGTCTGTTATAGAAGCTTAAGACAGACCTCTATAAGATTTATTTTCAGCAGACAGGGCCACATTAAAAGAAGTAAAAGAAGACTTACAAAAGGATTTTGGTGCTAAGGGAAAACATGAAAAGACAATACGAGGCATCATCACAGTTATAGTTACATGGTGCAGGTCAACTGTCCTGCCATGATTGATTCTGCATGAATTGGGAAAGGCTAGGTGTGCCTACAGGAAGAACCCCCACATCTCAGTGGCTGAACACAACAAAGCTCCTTGTTCTACACGTCTAGAACACGTTGGCAAGAGGCTCTGCTCCTCTTGTTCCAGAAAACTGGAAACAACTCACCTGAAGGGGTGAAACTCACTCACTTGGGGACCCAGGCTGAGGGAGGCTCCATCCCGTATGTATGTCCCCAGCTACCCCAGCAGTGGGAAGAGCACAAGGCAGACTGTTTGTGGGCTCTGAACATGTCTGCCCTGGACAAAGACGTGACCCTTCCACTCCCATCTCCCTGGCCAAAGCAGGACACGTGGGCAGGTCTAATGCCAGGGGCTGGGAGATGTGCAGCTGCACTGGGGCAGCAGGAAGATGGGCTGCAGAGGTGACAGCTGTCCTGATGACCACATTTGCTCTCAGGGCTCTCATACTCAGTCGCAGGGATAGTCCTGTCTGTGAGAGAACTCTGTTGTCGACACCCACCACACCCTTCTCTTCTCCCTCCCTTCAAGAGGGGGCCATGGAGAAAAGCAAGCTGGATTTCCAGACCATCGCCATCCTCCTCTCTACCTGGCAGCAATACAGCAACTGACATCACATACGACCTGCTGCAGGGCAGTGGCCAATTAACTTGTTGGACCAAAGAGCAGAGTGGAGCTGCAGCCAAGTTGGGGGTAAGTAACAGGGCAGAGTGGAGAGAATCGTGGATGGCTGAACAACCCCTGAGAATCCCCACCACAGTCAGTCCTGGGGGCAGTAGGACTGTTAGACAGCTGGGTGCATCATTCTCTCACAGGAAGGAAAAAATGAAGGAGACTGGAGAGACAGGCATAGAGCTAGAAGGGAGGATAAAAATAAATAAGGAGGTGAGAGGAACAGAGTGGGGAAAGAATGAGATTGGAGAAATAGAAAAAAACTTCCTGTTTCAAATTAGTATAAAGCTTCTCTTATGTCCTATAAAGTGTCACTCTAGGCTTCAGGTAGTATTTTCACTTCTGCTAAATGCATAGCTTTTGTTAAAGTCATACCTCACCAGAGTCCACTCTGTTTATTAACTAGGAAGCGAGTGCATACATCTCAAGAAAGGAAGTGCCCCGCAGGCTCCTCCCTTCTGCCAACACTGCCCCCTCTTCCTGCTGAGCGGCCAACATGTCCCAAGGGGAGGTCCCCTGTGGGACCCCCGGAGGGGCACAGGTGGGGGTTTGTGTCTTAAATGAGATTTCCTCTTACAGTCACATACCAGTTTCGGGAGAAATGTACCAACACTGAAGTTTTGGGTTGTTTTTTCCTTTTTAACTCACCAACTGATGACATAATTAAATTCTAATTTGGATTCCTTACAAGATACATAAAAGGCTGAAACACTTTGAGATAAAAGGAAGAGCTGAACACAGCTGTAGGATTAAAGATGAAAAATGTCCTATGGTAACCACAGAGCACCAATAACTTCTTTAAATTCTGATGATTTGTTTGTTACAGCAATTCCTTTTATTGTGAAAGAAGTCACTTCATTTAGTAAAGGCCAATGACGTCAGGTAGAAATAAACATTTGGTGTAATCAGTCAAAATGTCAGAAAAAGGGCACAGCTTGTTTTAGATGAATCCAGTTTCTGAAGTTACATGAGCGCTAAAGACGTGGGTGATTCCTTGCACTTCTCCAGCTGTTGCTGAGAGTCCTTTAACGGCAGACTCCCCTGCGCATTCCAAAAGCATTCAAGGTCCAAAAATAAGCATTGATATAGACTTTTCAGGAACACATCTGCTGTGAAAAATGATACTTGTAACATTGGGACTCCAAAGTAAGCATGAAAAAGGAGATATATTTAAAAATGCGTATTAAAGATTGAAAAGTCTTTCCACATAAGGAAAAGGTGACCAGACCATTCTGCTTTACTTTAGGTTCTCATTTGAAGATTGATGACTTAAGGAGATGCAACCACTTGCATTTTTGCTAAAAATAAACCTAAAGGAGCTGAGTTTAAAAGATATGCTAGGCAGCTGTTATTAGGCTGTAGATCAAATGCCAGTGGGCCCAACTCTGTGTGAGACAGGGTGAGCCTCGTTAAAAAGTGTAGCTAAAAAGGTGGCAAGGAGACCAGTATAAATCACTGCTCTTTAGAACTGACGGGGTCGCTTTCCTGTTCACTGCAGATTTTAATTAGGAATTTCTTCTTCTTCACAGATGGCTCACTGAGTTGTGTTTTAATTATAGACCTTGACAGAAAAAGCAAAAAGGAGAGCGAACAGAGCCAGGCCAACGGACAGCACCAGTGCGCACCCCCGGTGTGGCCGGCGCCACGGCGGCCCCACTCCGGGACTCACAGGGTCTCGTCGAGTTGCAGCAGCGGTGTGGGATGTGGAGCTCTGGGGCTTCCCAAGCCTGTTTCTGAATTCCTGTGAAGAGAGAAACAAATATGGAAAAAATAATTTTAAAATGCCAAGGAAGTCCTATTGTGGTATCAAAGTAACGGGTCCCTAGAAAAGAACTTTTTTAAAATAATTGAGATGTAGCTGACACATGACACCGTATGAGCTTCAGGAGTACAACACGATCTGACATTTGTATACACAGTGAATGACCACCACAGTAAGACTACATAACATCCATCACCACGCACAGTTCCAAATTCATTTTTCTAGTGATGAGTAGTTTTAGTGCATATTATTTTTATGAGTTAGTGTTTTTGTTTCCATTGGATATATTACTAGAAGTGGAATAGCTGGATCATATGGTAGTTCTGTTTTTGATTTTGTAAGGAAACTCATACTGTTTTCCATAGTGGTTGCACCAATTTATATTCCTACCATGAGTGCACAAGTGTTCCCTTGTCCACATCCTTGCCAGCACTTGCTATGTCTGTCTTTTTAACAACAGTTATTCTAATAGGTGTGAGGTTATGTCTCACTGTAGTTTTGATTTGTATTTCCCAGATGATGAGGTGATACTGAGCATCTTTTTATGTACCTGTTAGCCATTTATATGCCTCCTTTGGAAGAATGTCTATTCAGAACCTCTGTTCATTTTTTAATCAGATTTTTTTATTTTATTCAGTTGTATGAGTTCTTTATATATTTTGGATATTAACCCCTTATCAGATATGCCATATCTAATATGCAAGTATTTTCTGCCATTCAGTAGGTCGCCCTTCCATTTGGTTGATGGTATCCTTTGCTGTGCAGAAGCACATTCCTCTAACATAAGCAGGAGCTATCAGACTTCTGGTCAAGATGGCTGCATAGGTAGACATGGCTTGCCTCTTCACACAACCACATTAAAATTACAACTAAAATATAGAACAATCATCACTCACAACCATCAGAAATTGAGTTGAATGGAAGTCTGACAATTATGTAATGAAAGAAACCACATTCATCCAGACTGGTAGGAGTGGTACAGACACAGGATGCGCTGGTTCCACACCCACGTTTGGTGGCTAAAAATTCGGGAGGGACATCTCAGGAGTGAAGAGTCCTAGCCCCACACCCGGCCTCCAGTGCCAGGAAGGTAAGTCCCCACAACTTCTGGATGCAAAAACACTGGGGAATGAGTTGGTGGAAGAAACTGCTGGAGCCCCAAGCAGTTCCTCTTAAAGAACTCACACATGGACTCACCTACTCAGACTCACTTCCTCTGAGCTCCAGCACTGGGGTAGCACCTGGAAAGGTACCAGTGCCATACTGGGAGAAACTGAAGTGTCTGGCATCAAGGTGAGAAGAGGACATTGTCCCTTTTCTAAATCTTTTCTCCATAGAACCACAGAGCTGGCAAGCTGGTGCCATATCTAAAACTCCATTAATCTTCCTAACACTGTTCGATGCACCTTGGAGATCCCCAGAGACTCTGCCCTACCCATCCTATGACCCATCCAAGCTACTTTTCCATATGAATGGCTGGTCTTGGCTCATTCTTCACAACTTCCTAAATCATCTCAAACAAGCAAAGCTGGCCTCAGTGAGCCCCAGGCCTGGCACCAGCAACAACCAGCCTGGATTCACAGCTTGGCTTTGTCTGGGAATCTTCTAGCCCAGCATAAGCAACAGCCATCTCAGATTGCTTTACAGCTCAGGCAGGGTGGCCCTGAGTAAAACATAGGTGGGGAATGACCTTGGCCTGCACCACCTGGGAAACACCAAGGTTAATGTGCCCAGTGGACAGCTACAGACCACATTGGAGCACCACCACCCTACCCCTGCACAGCTGATCCTTCACAGAGGGCAGAGGTTGGTGGTCAGTGATCACACCTAATCCTTGTAGCTGACTGGCCTGGGTAAATACCTTCCAATGATCTGCCAACATCAACCAAGGCTCAAGTACATGAGGAGGGTGTACTCAGACCACATGAAGGGCACACCTTGAGTACCCAGCTTGGGTGATAGGGGTAGGTGTACAGAACACCTACTACATTAGGCCACACTACCAATACATAGAGTCAAAGCTGCTCTATGTGATACATAGAGACAAACACAGAGAGGCTGCCAAAATGAGGAGACAAAGAAACATGGCCCAAATGAAAGAACCCAGATCAAAATTCCAGAAAAAGAGCTACACAAAATGGAAATAAGCCATATATCAAATGCAGAGTTCAAAACACTGGTTATAAGGATGCTCAAAAAACTCAGTGAGGATCTCAGCAGCATAAAAAAAGATCCATCAGAAACTGATTGAAATAAAGATCAATTTACAAGGAAACAACAGTACAGTGGATGAAGTAAAAAATCAAATCAATGATTTTGAACATAAGGGAACAAAAAACAATCAATCAGAACAACAAAAAGAAAAAATAATCCAAAAAGATGAGATAGTATAAGCAGCCTCTGGGACAACTTCAAGCAGTCCAACATTTGCATCACAGGGGTGCCAGAAGGAGATGTGAAACAGCAAGAAATTGGAAATCTATTTGAAAAAATAATGAAAGAAAATGTCTCTAATTGGTGAAGAAAATAGACATGGAAGTCCAAGAAGCACAGAGAGTCCCAAACAAGATGGATGCAAAGAGGCCGACTCCAAGGCACAGCATCATCAAAATGCAAAAGGTTAAAGGTAAAGAGAAATCTTAAAAACAGCAAGAGAAAAGAAGTTAGGTACCTATAGGGGAGTTTCCCTAAGACAGCTGATTCCTCAAAAGAAACTTTGCAGGCAACAAGGGATTGGCAAGAAATATTTAAAGTCACAAAAAAACAGGGACCTACAGCCAAGACTGCTCTACCCAGCAAAGCTATCATTTAAAATTGAAGGACAGATAAAGAGCTTCCAAGAAAAGGTGGAACTAAAAGAGTTCATCATCACTAAGCCATTATTATATGAAATGGTAAAGAGACTTATTTAAGAAAAAGAGGGAGACCAAACTATGAACAATAAAATGGCAAAAGATACAAATCTATCAACAGTTGAATCTAAAATACAAACTAAGCAAACAAGAAGAACAGAGACAGAATCATGGATACTGAGAGCATTTTGATGATTGCCAGATGACAGGGGGTGTGAGAGAAAGGGTGAAGAGGTAAAGGGATTAAGAAGTAAAAATAAGTAGTTACAGATTAGCCATGGGGGTGTGAAGTACAGTGTAGGAAATGGAGTGGCCAAAGAACTTATATGCATGACCCATGGACATGAACAATGGTGGGGGGACTGTCTTAGGGAGTGGGGGGTGCTGGGTGGAGGGGAGCCAAGGGAGAAAAATCAGGACAATTGTAATAGCATAATCAATCAATCAATCAATCTATCTATATATATATAAAAGAAGGAGTTATCACTCCTTCAACATTCAAACATTCGAACACCCAATATGGGCCAGATGGCCCCCGGTTGGGATGACCCTTGGAGGGTCAGACTGAGTTCAGGATTTCCCATATTAGACATAACCTATATGAGAGAGAGACACAGTGCTTACAGAGAAGGAAGACAGAATTCATAAAGGACAGAAGTTGATATCAGGTGGAGTCACATCACAATATATACAGTTTTTAGGAGTACAAGCGTATCTATTCAACAACAATAACAACAACAACAAGAGGAGGGAGAGAGAGAAAAAAGAAACCTTGGAAGCCATTTTATTCAGTGAACATATATTCCTTATGACAAAAGATTCCCAGCTGGGCACTGTTGCAGAAGAGCTGCCCCCCAACCCTCAGGGGTCTGGAAGGGGTCCGGGTGGCTAGGGGCACCCACCCCCACATGCAGCCGCTCCGTCTGCTGTGATGTGCCACATCATGGAAAGGGTTGGGAAACCCTGCTCGGGGGAGCATGAGAAGCTAGGGGATATGATCTCATTCCTTTTAGGTAGCCTCTGTTCCCTGATGCTGTTTAGCCGGAGTGGGGAGGAGCAAATGGGAAACCTGGCCACTCTCAGCCTGGTTCTAGTGTTTCAAAGTGCAATTTTGACTCCATTTGTATTTCTACCTTATGAACAGGCTTTAGAATCAGTGCCTCCCGTTAGAGACCTGAAGAACACATTGAGAGCTGGGGGCAGGGTGGGAAAGGGAAATACTAGATGGAAGGAACACTGCTGGGGAGGCAGGGCCACCCCAAGGCAGCACACTACAGGCGTGTCTATGGAGGAACGAGAAATCCACAGAAGCACAAATTGTCTTTGAACGGCCATTTCACTGCTCACTCTTCCCATCCAAACTCTCCAGCAATCTCCTGGTGACACCGTTGGCCCTGGGTGGGAAGTGGGGAGTTGCAGCTCACCACGCACAGTAGAAGCATTGGAACTGCACTTTACAGAAACCTCTCTGGCAGGAAGACGGAGGGTAGGCTGGAGGGCGTGGAGAGAACAGGGTGGGGGGGGCAGAGAACACAGTGGTGAGTAGTGGCGATTGGAGGGGTGGGGGATGAAGACACCCTATTGTAGGACGACGGCAGGAGGACGGAAGGGAGAAACAAAAGCCTTCTGATGTAGAATCAACAGGATTTGAGTTCGGGTGACTGAGGAAATAATAGGAATGGGGAAATAAAGATGATTTTTACAAACCAATCTCCACCAGCTAATATTTACACATAATAGATGTGGAAGAATTCTTGTTTTGACTGTAGGAGACTAACTGAAAAATTAATAAAGCTGTTAACCACAAGGGTAAATCTCTCAGCGGGATGGCAGTCGAAGCATTATTGCTTCTGTGCTTTGAAGGTGTCCGGGCCTGCGGGCACCCCCGGAAGCCTCTGCACTGGAGCCCTGCACCCTGTGGGACAGGCCGAGTCAGCTTCCCCGCAGCAGTGGGACAGGGCAGGGGCTCAGTGGTGCTCCCAAGCAGCCCCACCCTGGGGAGCCACGCTCTTGTGAGACTGGCTTTCTGTGTGGTGTTTTGGAGCTGGAAACATGTTGACAAACTTTCATTTTAGTTGACTAAAAATAGCCTCAAGGTCTCAAAGACAGCACTCATGGAAACAGCAA